ACCCTTCCTTGTCCCTGCCATGGGTGTCCCTCGGGTACCTGCAGGCCACGCCCCCAGGAGGGGCGCACCTGCTTCCTGGAGGTGGAGGCACATGGCACGCCCCCTCCCACCTCCGCCCTGGGTGGCCTTCGCTGTGGAGGGCTGTGAACCGTCCCTCCTGGCCTGGGACAGGCTGTGGGCTCCCCAGGTTGGAGCGGATCTGGGGGAAAACTCCCCACTTTCGGCTTGCCCCTCTGCAGGCCTCTGGATGGACAGGGGCAGGGCCGTGGCTGGAGGGGCTGAGTCGGCCTTGGATCCTGTCCTGGGGAGGCGGAGGGACACCGAGGCACGTGTAGGGGTCCAGGGATGTGGAGCAAACCTCTGTCTTCCAAGCCCACGGGCAATGGAGCCTCAAGCCTGCGCCAACCGAAGTGGCCCTACCGACCTCAGGCTGGCGTCCTCTGCCCGGCAACAGGGCAGGAAGGACAGGAAGGGGCGGGCCTCGTCTGGCTGGCTGCTGTCCCTGGCCCAGGCGATGCCCGACCTCCACAGTCTGCAGTGGCCACTCTCTAGCCACTGTGTCCAGCAGGCTTGGGACACTTCGTTCAGGCAGGCTGCCTGCCCGCTCCCGCCCCGGTCTCTGCCCCGTGCAGCTGCCCCCACCCTGTCCCTCCAGCCCCTGCTTCCCCCCCAGCAGGGGGTCGGGAGTGGACATGTCCTCTGGACAGTGGGAAGGTGCGTACTGCCCGGCCAGTGGGACGCGGGCTGAGTCAGTCACAGGCTCTGGCCTTGTGACTCCCCAGCGTGGGGCTCAGCTCGGAGGCAGCCGTGGAGGCCGTGTCAGAGTCTGTGGGGCCGGACATGGGACCCCAGAGAGTGGCAGTTGGTGACAATTTGGATGGCATCCCAGGCGAGATGGGCCCCAGTGGGCACGGGAAGGGTATACCTCCAAGGCCCAGATCACCAACCCCCAAGCACTCCACCTCCATGAGCCGGGGCTTGGCCGGTCAGCCTTGGTGGCCCCTGCGGCTCCTGTGGGGGCCAGGGACACGCCGCACACCGCCCCTCCCACAGGGTCTGCTGGGCTGTGACCTGGGACAGGACACCAGCTACAGGCTTCGGCCGATCAGAGACCAAGCACGTTATCCTGCTGCACCTCTGGGTCCTGGCTTCTAAGCCTGGCTGGCCTGGGCCGGCCCAGGGGTCCCTGGTGTGGGGACGGAGGGGTGCAGGACCGGTGTGCCCAGGGTCCGGGCAGCCAGAGTGCTGGACTTGCTGGCAGCCAGAGCTCCAAATATGAGTCTCTGCCGCCCTCTTCTGGCCATGTCTGTGAATGGCCGCTCCTAGTCACCTCCCCCAGAAACTACAGCCTGGGGGTCCAGGCAGCCGTGGACGCGGCCCTGGGGGACCCTCAGCCAGACCCGCAGTGGGCCTCACCTGTGCCCACGGCCACCTTGTCCAGGACCCAACCTGGGCCAGAGACGGCTCCCTCAGTCTGAGCCACACCCGACGGGGCAAGGGGCTACCCCCTCGTGTCCCCCTGCACCCACGTCTCATGCCGCTCGGGGCCTTCTCCTCAGGCCTGCAGGACAGTAAATATTTGCTGATGACCAGAGAGGGCAAATAGTGCTCAGGGGCTGGTTGCAGGTGCCAGAGCGTCTGTGCCAGCAGCACATGCACTCCTGGGAGCCAGCCTGGAGGCAGCTGTGCTGGACACACATCCGAGGGGCCCAGGGCCACCAGGTGCCCGGCCTGGTTCAGGACCGGGAGTGTGAGCAGGCCCATGGGAAGTTGGCCCGGCCCCTAGCTTGTGACAAGTGAGCACCCTGCCCTGGGTGACACCTCGGGAGGATTCGGGCCCGACAAGAATGGGGAGACGTGGTCACAGTCCCCAAGGTCAAAGTGACCGACCAGAGGCAGGCTGGGCGCTGCTGAGCCGCTGTGAGGCTCCTTGGCAGGTGTGGCTCGGGAGTGAGTGGGGCTTGTCGGTGTGGCCGGGAGCTTGGGCCCTCTCCCCTCCCCGTCCCCCACTGACTTGAGGTTGGGCACAGACAGCCGGCCACCATGACTGGCCGTGGGCCCCAGATGCCCAGGCCGATGCCACAGCCACTCGAGTGACTTGTGTGGGGCCCCCCGCCCACCCGGGACCTGCAGTGTGCGGCCCAAAAGGCTGGGACAGCCCACGAGCCCAGGCGCAGGGCACTCCCACCCACACCCACCCCATGAGGGGCCTGTGCCCGTCACCCCATGGCTGCCTACTTCCTGCCCCAGCCCCCAGGGGCTGCGCTCACATACCTCAGCCCCCTGCCTCTACCCGTGCGAACAGGGCCTGCCGGCTGCTCCCATGCGCGGAGGTCGCTGGGCTCGGCTGCCTCCTTCCCTCCCCTTCCGGGTCCAGTGCAGGGGCGGAGTCTGCCTGGCGCCCACAGCCCCTCCTGTACGCGGGGGTGCCCCATGGACATGGCCCTGCAGTGGCCAGGAGGGATCAGAGGCGGCCCTGCACCCTACCCGGGATTGCTTCCAGCAGGGGCTGGCCAGCTCCTGGGGTGACCAGGGCCACCCGCTGACCTCTGGGTCCTTGTCTGCCTCTCGGGTGATTCCAAGCTGGGTGCCCACGGAGGAAGGCCTCCTGTGGGAGCCCAGAGCCAGCCCACGGTGGCAGCTGTGTCCCGGGGCCTGTAGGTGCAGGGCTGGCCAGCACCGAGCTGGGGGTGGGAGCTTCCTGCTGGCCAGGCCTCTCGGCTTAATGGGTCCAGGGTGACAGGTGTTGCCGCTTGCAGCGTCAGCCTCACAGTCGCCCGACTCATCTTGCTCCCCTGACAACATGCCGTGCCAGCAACACGGGAGCCCCCAGCAGGCACCAAGCGGGGAAGCCACTAGAATGTTCTCGTCCCACCAGAGCAGCCCCGGGGCCAGGAGAGTCAGTTCCCAGCTGCCGCCCACAGCCTGGCCACTGCGACAACAGCGGCCGTGAGGTCCGGCCCTGCCAGCGGACGGGCAGCTGTCAGCCAGGAGGGGCCCGGAGTTCACAGAAGGGCAGCACCCACGGGGCAGCACCCACAGTAACTGCAACACAGGACACAGTGCACGCAGTGGCTGGTGGAAGAGTTTATTGGGGACAAGGGGGCGTGGGGCTGGAGGTCCGGGGCTCGGGGGTCAGGGGCGGAGCGGGGCCCCCGGGGGTCCGGGGCTCTGGCCCGGGGCTAGTTGCAGTAGTTCTCTAGCTGGTAGAGGGAGCAGATACTGGAGCAGCACTGTTCCACGATGCCCCGCTTCTGTAGGGCCAGCTCCGCCGGCCCTGTGTGGCCAAGAGACGGGGCTCAGTCTGGGGCTGGGCCTGCCCGCCCCCACAGCCAGCGCCTGGTGTCCCTCCCGGGACGTGTGTGAGTGTGTGCACTGGTGTGTGGAGACGCCCAGCTCACCCTGCAGCTCGTCCACATCCCGGCGGGCCTTGGGCGTGTAGAAGAAGCCACGCTCGCCGCACACCAGGTACAGCGCCTCCACCAGGTGAGAGCCGCACAGGTGCTGGTTCACGAAGGCCTGGGCAGGGTCCGGTCCCCAGACGATGAGCAGGGCCAGCAGGGGCAGCAGGCGCGTCCAGAGAGCCATCCTGACAAGGTGATGAATCTGAGGGCCGGGGGAGCTGAGGTGAGGGGCGCCCCCACACCCCGGCCCCCACGCCCCCAGCCCGGGCTGCCCAGAGGGCACCGACCTGCCTGCTGGTCACCTTGCAAGGCAGCAGGTCCTGCAGGGCTGGCACCGCTGGGTGCTCGGCGCTCTATATAGCCCGGGGCCCCCGGCTCCGGCCCCATCAGGGTCTCTGAGGGGGGTGTCGGCAGATGGCCGGCCCGGGCTGAGGCTGCAGTTTCTGGCCCATTTCCCCAGAGCCGGTCATCGCTGTCGTCATAGCCGGGCTCGGCCGGGGGCCTCAGGGTCCTGATGAAGGGCTTGCCGGGAGAGTTGATCTGCGGGCAGCTGGGGGCAACCCTCCTGCCCTGGTCACCATGCCTCACCGATTTTTCCACCTCAGCCCACTAGCACGTGGCCCTGGTCCCTGCCTGGAAGACGCCATGCGTGGCCCAGGGCAAAGAGGGGGCCACGAGACAGGACGCCCACTGCCCAGGGGCCTGGCAGCCCAGCCTCTGACCCTCTGCATGTGGTTGGCGGGGGCCCCACTGGTCTCCACATCTCCCCGGACCCCCTGGCCGTGCGCTCCCCCGAGCCCCCCGTGCCTCAGCTCCTGGCGCAGACCCAGAGGCCCAAGCAACCAGGGTGGAGGAAGGAAGGCCCCCCCGGAGCACCCTCTTGGCAGTGGGACCAGAAGCAGGGGTGCCCCCAGCAGGCCCCCGCAGCTGCCCATGGAGCCCCCTGGCCCGGGAGCCGCCTGCGCAGGCTGACACCAGGCATGGGCTGTGGGGGTCGCTCAGTGCCGCCCCCCTCCCCAGGCTGCCGGGGCACGTGGCACGAGGCTCCTCTAGCCCCAAGACGCCAACAGGCACAGGGCCTGGCCAAGCCCACCCCTCCTGGAGCCAGGCCTGCCAGCCCAACCGGCCACCACGCACCCACCTGCTCGTCGCAACTGACCCCTTCTGACCTGTGTGTGGGTGCCCTCTACGCTCAGGGCGAGGTGACCCCACCAGCGCCTCTGACCTGAGGGAGGACCCCTGCCCCGGGGCGAGACCAGGAGGAACAAGAGACACACACACAGCTGGACACGCACGGACTCTCATTGAGATGCGAAAGGTGGCAGCAGTAGGGGTGGGGCAGGAAGGGGGGAGACGCCTGGGACCCCAGGGGGCAGCGGGACAAGGAACTGAGGCTCTGACAAGAGGGTGGGGCTTGGCACGATCAGACTTGGGGGCGGGGACTCCTTGACTCAGTCCCCCTGCAGGGCTGGAGTTCCGGGCGAGGGGGTGGCGGGGACCCCAAACTAGGCTGGGCAGGGCAGGGACCTCAGGCTGAGCTGGGCAAGGCTGGTGCGGGGCGGGGATCTCAGGCTGGGCTGGGCACGGCCGGGGGCGGGGACCGCAGGCTGGGCACCTAGCCCAGGGCACTCAGCGCCTGGGCCAGCGTGTGCAGCTCATCCTGGACGCCCTCCAGGGAGCGGCGGACGGCCTGGGGAGTGTCCAGCACGTCGATGGCCAGCGTGTAGGGGTCGAACTTCACGGAGAAGGGACGCTGGATGCGGGAGGCGTAGCTCCTGCGGGTGGCGGTGGGGAGCAGGACAGGCGGGCCTCAGTGGCACTGTGGGAGGTGCCAAGCGTCCCATGCCCTTCCCCACCACTGCCAGGCTCCGACTGCCTGGATGGGCCGGAGGCTGGGGCCTTCTCCAGGGCAAGCAGCAGGCAACATGACCTTGTCCAAGTGCCCTCCTCTGCCCGGCTTCCCGGAATCTCGACTCGCCTCCAGCAAACCTTCCTGCACGGTGTGGGAGCCCGCCCCCAGCCCGGTGCACCCCAGAGGCACACCGTGACCTCCCAAGGCTGCTTAGAAGGGCGCCGTACTCCCAGGGGCCCAGTCCTGAGAATGGCCCACTTCCATGCCCATCCCTGCCCGGCCCCTCACCCTCAGAGCTCAGCAGGCTGCACAAGCCCAGCTCTGCCGAGGCCAGCGAGGCCAGCCCGCAGCCCCCAGGCCTCCGGGCCTCGCCCCACACCCTCCCAGGTCCTGTTTGGGGCAGGAACCAGGCAGCTGGTGACGGGCTAGCAGCCGGAAGCCTCTGCCCACCTGAGCTTGTCCTTGGCGTCGCCAAAGCTCTCCGACACAAAGTAGACGGGCTGGTAGGTCTGGTCCTGGTAGGGCTGCACGGCGGCCGCGTCGGGGTCGAAAGCCCGGATCTCCGGCTCCCCGGAGAGCGAGTGCTGACAGCAGAGGCCATGGGTACAACGCACGTGGCTGGGCCTGCCTCCCAGGTGCCCCCAAGCCCAGGGGCCAGCCTCACCAGCAGCTCCCCGTAGGAGGACAGCAGCCCCGCGCCGTAGGCCTTGAGCTCGCCGTTCTGTTTGCACAGCCCAAACTCCACGGTGAACCAGTAGAGCTGTGGGCATGGCCGTGGGCATCACAGGGCGTGGGGGGGGGGCGTTCACGCACAGCCCAGGGGGCCCACATGGAAAGGGACCCACCGTGGACAGCTTCTCGATGGCTTCGTCTGAGGCCCCCAGGGACGCCAGGCCGATGTCCTGCGGAGGGGTGAGGTCCACAGCGACCCAGTGAGGGTGCAGGGGGCCTGAGACCCCTGCGGGGCCGCTATTCCTGGAGCAGCCAGCAGGTGGAAGGCCAGGCCGTGGGATTCCCTGTCCCTCTGGGTCCATCCAGAGGCCCCGGCCCCGCCCACCCCTCAGGGACCCCCGACACACCTGGGAGAACTGGGCGAAGGTGCGGTCAGCCAGCATGGGCACGTGCCCCAGCAGTTCGTGGCAACAGTCCCTGCGGGGAGCAGAGCTGAGGCCAGGGTGCCCATCCCGCCACCACCCTCCCGGCCCGGCCCCCGCCCTGCTGCCCCCGGCTGTGCCCTCGGCCTGCACAGGGCACTCACGGCTCAGGCGAGTGCATGGGCGAGGATGCGTGGCGGATGTACTGGGTGCATTGGAACACGCGGAAGGCCAGGCTAGCCAGGAAGTCCCGGGCCGAGAGCAGGCCGGCCACGGGCCGCAGCTGGAAGCCCGTGCGCTCTGTGGGGGGCCGCTGGGTCAGGACCCCCAGCCCTGCCCGCCCCGCCCCGCCCACCCCCCGCGCCCCGCACCCTTCAGGAAGCGGGACACGTCCTCCAGCTGCGGGATGCTGTCCTCGCGGTAACCGCTGCAGCGCTCCAGCAGCTCCAGGGCCTGCAGGTACTCGCGGCAGGCGTGCGTGGTGTACAGGCCCCGCAGCCGGCTGTACACCTCCTTCCTGCGGACCACAGCCCCTGCCAGTCCCTGCGTGGGTCCCGGGGCTCAGCCCCGAGGCCCCGCCCCCAGGCACCTTGGACCCCTGCATTCCGAGCCTCTTGGACCTGGATTGGGTCCACCACTCTCAGCTCCTTGGGGGCAGCCTGGTAGTGCCCAGGCCAAGCGTCCAGGCCTGCCTGGGCCAGTCCCCAACACCCAGCCTGCCCCGCTCTGTGCCCCCTTGGCTCTGCAGTCTTACCAGGTAGCAGTCTCCTCGGCCGTGTACTCCACACGGGGGATGGGGTTCCCGCTGCGGAGGGGTCAGAAGTCAGGCGCCTGGGAGCTGGGATGGCCCGTGGCAGGAGGGGCGGGGAGGGGGTCTGGCTGGGCAGGGCCTCTGGGCTAACACAGGTCAGGGTGCACTGCGGCGTGACGTGGGGGCCCGGCTGAGGCAGGTGCACACTGCATTGGAGCCGGGATTCTGGGGCCCAGCAGCCTCCCCTCTGTCCCCCAGGCCTGGACACCACAGCGGGGTCTTACTGCTTGTACTGGAAGGCTATGTCGGCAATCAGTTTCCTGCGCTGGCGGTAGGCTTGGTCCGAGAAGCCCTGGGAGGGGGCAGGGGGCCTCGGTCAGTCAGGGGGCAGCAGCCTGCCCAGCCCACACTCACTGTCCCCCACACGCTGTGAGGTGGGTAGCCAGGCCAGTGGATGGGGGGGGGGTGCCATCTCACCGGGTGGTCCAAATCCAGGTCGGGATCGAACTTGGTGACCAGGTGGTGGCACTGGTCCAGCTCTGACACCCTTCTTGGGAACCAGGGGACTTGAGGAGGACGGGAAAGGGGCCGAGTCAGGATGTGGGGCCGGGGCGTGGGGGTGGCTCTGGGCTGTGGGGACGAGCCGAGGGGCAGCCTCACCCTTGTCGGCCCCGGGGCTTCTCACGTCCTCGGCCACCCGGCGCAGAGAGCTGAGCAGGGCGGCCAGGTCCCCGCCGGGCACCTGGCAGCGCACAAAGTATTCCAAGTGGGGACTGCCCGTCCGCGCCCGTGTCTCCAGGTGTTGGATCTTGGCCTCAAATGTCTGGGGGGGGGGGTGGCAGGAAGGAGAGAGGAGGACGTGGGGGTGGGGGCAGGCCCAGAGGAGGACATTTGTGGTCAGCTGACAACTGCAGGCCACACACAGGCCCCTGGCCCTTCCTGGCCAGGCTGGTGCCTGCATTGACAAGCTGCGTGTCCTTGTGGTGGCCACCCTAACCTGTCTCCTGGGCCGCGCTGGCTGTGTCCCCAGGGGCTCTCCTGGGACTGGGCGTGGGAAGGCAACGGAGCTCAGGTGGTGACTGGGGTGTTGTCCACGGCGGGCCGTGCACCCACCCCGCCTGGTCTCACAGGACAGCACGGTGTCGCCCGGCACTGACCCTGGGCCTAATGCACTGCAACTGGGCTGTTTGATGTCTGTCACTGCACGTGCCGTGTGCATAGCTCCTACGCTGGCACCCCTGACCCCTAACCCCCGGGCCCTGTCCATACCTCCTACATTGGCACCTGCCACCCCTGATCCACGGGCCCTGTTCATAGCTCCTACACTGGCATCCCCCGACCTCTGTCCAAATGACCCTTGGCTTCCAAAGTTATAAGGAGTCCATGTCTCATCCATGTCCCTTCCACATCCCCGGGTCTCCTAGCAACAGGCCCTGGGGCAGCTCAGCGGCTGGCCTGGTGCTAATGTCATTTGGAGCTTCTTCTGGAAGCTGGGTCCATCGCCGACGGGCAGTGTGGTCACAGCAGCTGACACAGTGCTCACCTGAGCCAGGGACAGACGGCACAGGGCAAGGTGGGGGTGGCTAAGCCATCCTGCAGTGTGATGGATGTGGCGGGCACAGGGGTAAGCACAGCCCATGCACCCCCCCACCACCACATGGTCCAGCACACACCCAGCCCTGCACACACACACACATACACACCTCACATGGTCCAGCACACACACACGCACCTCACATGGTCCAGCACACACCCAGCCCTGCACACACACACACACACAGACACACACCTCACATGGTCCAGCACACACCCAGCCCTGCACACACACACCTCACATGGTCCAGCACACACCCAGCCCTGCACACACACACACACATGCACACCTCACATGGTCAAGCACACACACACACACACGCACCTCACATGGTCCAGCACACACCCAGCCCTGCACACACACACACACACACACACACACACACGCATGGGATGCTCCCAGCACCCTCACCTCAAACACCTTCACCGCCCGGGACAACGAGGGCCTGGCATCCCTCAGCGAGAAGAGCAGGGTTACTGCCGCCTTCCCGTCCTTGTGGGCCACTGCCGCGGCCTCCAGGGCATCCCCGGGCTCCGAGGCGGACGCCGCCGCTGCTGCTGCAGCCTCTCTCTCCTTCCGGGCATCCTCTATGAGACTCTGCCGTCGGCCCACGAACCGCGGGGACTGTGGGGACAGGGCATGGTGGTGGGCTGGATAGCCGCTGGACGCCTCCTCTCCCCACCTGCCTGTCAGCCCCCTAGACAGGCAGGGTCAGGCGTCCGGCTCAGGTGGCGCCTGTCTGACCCGGCCGCTGTGAGGGACTCGGCCGTGCAGTCACCACGGCTTTGCCTCAGGCCCACCCTCGGCCAGGATGCAAACCCCAGCTGTCCCAGGGAGTCTTCCAGCATGCCCCACGCCCCTGTCCCTGATGATGGTGTGGGGGTCTTATGGATGGCCACAGCCCCGGCTGACGCTGCTTTCCCCGGGACTGAGGGGTGAGACGGAGCCGAGGACCCCTGCTGTGGTCGGCTGTCCAGATGTGGGGTTACCCTTCTGCTGGCCAGGACACCCCCACTCCCTGTGAACCGCTGCTGCATGCAGAATGGTCGGGGTGGGGCGTGCCCTCCCTGCCCATCCTGGCAGCTGGGAGCAGGGAGGGCCGTGGTGAGGGGTGCACCAGGACACTCCGATCCCCAGGGACAGGGGCCCTGGCCAGCCCTACCCTCGGCTCCGGCTGGATGAACCTGCCTGTGCACAGGGGTGCCCACGGCAAGCCTGGCCATTCTGGGGTGGCCTCCACCTGCTCTCTTACCATCACGGCCTCCACCTGCTTGGCGTCCAGTTCAGACACGGCCCTACGGAAGCCCCGGGCCTGGGGGGCGGCAGCAGCGGCGTCCGGGGTGGGCATGGTGTGGTGGGTGGTCCCAGGCTCGTGTCCTCAGACCTTGGGCCGGTGGCCTCTTATAGGCTGAGCTGACGTCAGGGCCCTCCTGGGCCCCCCTCTGCCCGCCCGCTCCCACCCAGCTCCTGCCGCTGTGCCTGAGGGAGGCGGGGGTGGGCGTGGAATGAGCAGCCCCAGATGCGAGGAGAGGACTCCATCCTCCCATTAAATCTAATTGCAGCCACTGTCGCAGCCGTCGTGTCTGCGTCAGCCCCAGCCAGGGGCTGGGGACATGCAGGGGCGCTGGGGACACGCAGGTCCCCTCGGCCACACGCTCCGGGGGAGGGGCCCGGGCTCAGCCTCAGCTGCTGAGGGCTCTGCCCTTCCAGAAGCTTCCTCACATCCTTGGGGGTCTGACCTCCGTCCCCTACACGAGGCCCTGGTGCCTAGCTCCCCAGGCGGGCTCCACGGGACCTGCGGTGAGCCGGAAAGGCCCGGCCCAGAGGCTGCTGAGGTCTCTTTGCAGCCCCGGGAGCGTGGCTGGATGAGGCCGGAGAACAGCACCACAGCCTCGCCTCCCTGACCTTTCCCCTCTGGGGGCTCAAGCCCCGACCTACACCCTCCTTCCCAGAGGCTGCCCACCCCGAAGGCCCCTCTTGCATGCGCACGCTGCCCTGCCCGCCGCAGCCCAGCTGGCAAGGCCCTTTTGGCTGATCACTGGTGGCCTCAGCTTCCAGGATCTCCCAGATTTCCTGGGGACCCGCCCCTTCTTTCCAGAGAGCCCTCCACCCCTGACAACAGCCTCTGGGACTGTCCCCCAAGCCAAACAAGCTAGCAGCAAGGGGGGTCCTATGCCTCGCCCCCCAGCCCTCTATGAGACTAGGGCCCAGGGCTGGCTCCCTGCTCCCCATGGGTCCCACCTGTTGGCTTTGTGCTGGAGGATGGGGAGCTGGGGCTCTAAGGCCCTGGTGCCTGACGCCCCATCCCTCAGCCACCCACCCCGGCGAGGTCCCATGCGGCTCTGACGTGGGCTCGGTCAGCACACCCTGGCCTGGAGAGTAGGTGTCCAGCCTGGGGCGGTGCTGGGAGGCCCCGGCAGGCTTCACACTCGCCCTCCAGGGTTCTGCCAGGGACCCCTGAGCCAGGCAGCCCCCAGCCCTCTGCATGCCCGCCCCACTGTTTGCCCAGGTTGTGTGCGGTGCCCCGGCAGCCGCGGGATGTGGGTTTAACCTTTCGGCAAATGCCTTCCCGATACAAATATTGTCTTTTAATTCACTCTCCTGCCTGGGCTGCTTCTGCCTGTGTGGAGGCTGAGCCGAGCTTTCTCTGACTCCCCGAGGCAGGTGGCCCCGGGCCAGAGGACCCCCGGGTACCCTTCGGCCTGCCGCATCGCTTCTGTCAGCTGTCTGTCCGTCTGTCCCCTGTCCCAGGGGCCTGGCAGGTTCCATCCTGCTTTGGTGGCGTCTGGGACCGCCCTGGCCCTCCAGCTCTGGCAGGTACAGGTTCTGGGCTCAGCCCCTGGCTTTGAGGCTGCTTGCGTGCACCCCAGCCTTGCCCACTGGGGCGCCCCAGGCCCTCCCACAGGCCTCTGGCCCTGCTGCCGCTCACACACTGAGCCCCCGAACCCCTAGCCGCTGGCCCACACCCAGGCAGCACTGCCCTGGCCCTCCTTCGGGGCCCACCAGCTCCGAGCTGCATCCTGGGAACCTGTGAGCAGTGCAGAGTGGCCTGGGGGCCTGAGGTCCCCGCCAGCCAGCTGGCTGGGGCAGGTGACCGTGGGCCAGCGCTGACCGTGGGCAGCTGCAGCTTCATGGGCAAATATGCGTGGGTGGACCACGCCCAGGCCACGCACGCACACGCGTATATACATGAACACAACACAGAGACACACGCGTGTAACTCGTGTCCGAGCTCATGAGTGCACACGTGGCCAGGTCAGGCACAGCGGCCAGCCGCCCCTCACTCTGCTCATGGCCTCCCAGGGCCCTAGCATGGGGCCTCATGACCATGGTCACCTGGGCCTCCTGGGAGGTGGGCATACCCTGCCCTCGGGTCAGAGCCTGAGCCCCCCACCCCGCCCCACACGAAGGTCACAGGCCTTAAGCGGGGTCGCAGCCCGGGGCCCCTCTCCCCACTCTCCGAAGAACCAAGCAGCCTTGCCACCCGCCTGTCAGGCCCAAATGCCAGAGCAATTAGCCCTAACGAGGCCATCGGATGGAGCAGGCGCGACGGCCAGCGTGGACGCGGGCCTGGTCGATCAGGACACTTAGGAATAATTGGGCACTCTGGAGTCAGGCCGCCACGACTCAGCTACCCTGCCGCCTGCGCCGACTCCCACCTGCCCCTGCTCTCCTCCCCCTCCCGTCCCCTACCCACCGCCCCTCGTCCAGGCTGCCCCTGGGGACACCCTCTGGGCCCCTCCCCATCTAAACTCACTCTCCCCTCGCCCGTGCAGTCGGGGTCACTGGCCTCAGCCCGGGCGGGGGGCTGCAGCTCCTGCACCTGCTACTGTGTGTGTCCGTGGTCAGCGGGAGAGAACGCCTGCAGGAGGGTATGTGTGCGTGTGTCCGTGGCATGCCAGTGTTCCGTGTGTGCGTGGTGTGCAAGCACGGATGCCCTTCCCGTGTGAGTGTGCATACATACACTGTCACAGATCCACACACCTGTGTGCATGTGGGCAGCCACAGGCGGGTCCCTGACTCCACATGGGCCTCAGCCCCGAGCCCTGGGGTCCCGTCAGGTGCTCCCAGTGGCTCGCAGTCCGCCTCCCCACGGCTGATGACTCAGCCTGTGACCCCCCCACTCCCCCGACAAATTAGCCGGCGGGAAGCGACATTCGGTTCTCGTTAGTCACTGTGAGACGCCCTGGGTTGTGACAGCAATCACATCTAATTGCAGAGCACGCATGCCCGGCCCTCGGCTAGGGCATCACCCGCCCTGCGGCTGCAGCCGGGTTTAAGGGGAGAGCGCTCCCCCCCAGCACACAGGGCCCCCTGTGGGAAGGGGGAGGTGGGTCCTCGTGCCACCTCCCCCAGGGTGGAAGAGGGACCCCTGCCAGCATCCATTCCTGTGCCTGTGCCTGCCCGGGGAGCAGGGAAGCCCTGGCAGGGACAGGCCTGGGCCTTGCCTGGGTGCCCTCCCACCTCTGTCGCATCTCCAGGCACCAGGCGTTGCTCCCACAGGGCCAGAGCCCAGAGCTCGGCTTACGGGTGGGGAGACCCAGGCCCAGCTTCCACAAGAAGGGGAACTGAGGCTTGGCAGCGGTAGGAGGTGGGCAGCCCTGCAAGGAGTGAGGGGTCCAGCTGGGGTCTGCAGGAGAGCAGCTTTCCCCCCAGGGGGTGGGGGAGGGTCTCACCCCAGCCAGGCCTGCTCCTTCCCCATTTGCCCCCATTCTTGGGGTGGGGGACCCAGCTGAGCTCCCCGACCCCCCTTGGAGCAGCTCCCCGGATGCAGGCAGGGAGGGCAGGCTGATCCTTGGTCCGTCCGCGCCGCCCCCAGCTGACATTTCGGGTTCTGCCCGCCCGGCACCTGTAACATTTACACAGCTCAGCTCCCAGTCGCTCGGGGCTGGGCGTACCCCAGGCCAGCCTTCCGGATCCGAAGTTCATTTTTAATAAACGCGGCCGGCGCAGCAGGGGTCCCATCTAGCTCCACGGGGGGCTCTCCCATCCTAGGCCCTCTGGTCCCCTGAGAGGACCCCACCTCCCAGGCCGGGGTGGGGGGAAGCAGTCGGAAGGCAGGGGAGACAGGCCAGCACAGCCAGTGGGAGGAGGGTGGTGGGACCCCCCCACCCCACGGCTCCGTGTCCAAACCCACCTCTCACCCAGGTGAGCCAGGACGGTCAGGGCCCGCCACGGCTGGCTTACCCTCCCTACAGTGCTTGCGACAGCGGGGCTGGGCCAGGACTCCATCAGGTGCCTTGCGTGGGTGGCGGGGCCAAAGTGCCACCTGCTGCCTTCCAGGTTGTATTGGCAGAAAGCAGAGCTGGGGGCAGGCAGTGTTGTCACCCAACGCCTGTCCCCATGGTGATTCCCAGCCCCTGCACCCTCCCGGTCACTGGGGACCCCGGACAGGGATCACCCAGGCCCTGCTCAGGTGGCCAAGTGTGAGTTCCACGTGGAAGCATGCAAATCACCACAGCTCACTGAACACACCCACATACGTGTGTGCACGCCTGAGCCTACGCTCACATGCATGGAGGCATAGTGCCACTGAGCCCCTCCAAGACCGTACCACTCCCACCCCTCATCTGCCAGACCTAGCCTTCCCTGGCGGGAAGCTGCTGGACGTGGCCTGAGGCGGCAGGTACACCCACAAACCCTGCCCGCTTGTTGCCAATCAGAGCCTGGAGCCCTGAAGGCGGAAGGCAGGGCTCCGAACAGCCCCTTCCTTCCTGGGCTGTGGGCTTGCTCTCTGACCCTCATTCCCCGACCTGTAACTGGGGAGGCCCTGCCACCTGCCTCCTTCTGAGCGGTCTGATCCCCAGGTGTTCCTGGCTTGTGGAGGGGCAGGGCTCGGCCTGGGGGGTAGTGGGAGCTGGTCTAGTGCATCACCCAGCAGAGGGCTGGCGGGGAGGGGTCGGGGGCCCCACCAAGGCTCCGCCCCCACAGCCGGAAGTGGGCAGCATGGTGTCCACCATGCAGCAATGGGCACAGCTCAACACAGGAACTGAGTCCTGACCCCACCACCGACAGGCAGGGAGTCCTGATTGGCTCCCAGGCGGCCAGGGCTGTGATGCTCTGGGGGATAGTCCAGCTGGAAAGCACACACCCTGGGGTGTCACCCACAAGAGGTTCCAGAGGAGAGCCACAGAGTAGGCTCAGAAGTCAGCACCGGGCCGTGGCACAGCCCACCGAGGGGCAGTGCATGTAGAAGGCTCTGGAAGGAAGGGACCAGGATCTGTGCCCGGCCTTGGCCTCAGACCCTGGCCGGGCCGGCGCTGGGACCCACAGCGCCAAGGCTGGGCTGGGCAGCCGGCTGGCTCCCCGTCCTGGGCTACAGAGGCCCGGGTCAGCATGGGCAGCAGG